AGAAAATGTATTGAATATTATATTTATTTATTTATTCATTATTCGTGATATAATTTAATATAATTTTTTTATCGATAAAAAAATATATTCAATATATTTTCAAGATATATTGTTTGGATTTGTTTATGCTTGGTCGACAACACGTAGTCAATGTTTCTGTCGCTGTTTAACTAATGTTATACATGTGGTGATCAGTGTTTTTTGTTAATAATTCGTTAACATTGTCATAACAAAAGTTTTTGCAAAGGAAAATGTTTGAAATTATCTTAGGAATCTTCAGTTTAGAAGTTTCAACATTTTTGGGATATATATAATAAAATATATAATATATATTTTATATATATATAATATATATAATAAAATTTAATATTTTTTTAAATAAGACATTATACAATTTTTGATTGAACAAACATAACATTCTATTTTATAATAATTGCAGAATATTATGTGAATAAAAAATATAAATATGAATATAATAATAGAACGTGACTCATTTAATGATGAAGAATATATCTAAACAAAAGAAGTAAGAAAATAATAATTAATTATTTAAAATATACGAAATAATTATTTTCTCATACCTGAACAACTATAAAAGAAAAGGAAGTGAAGCTGATGATACTATTATATAAAATTCTATATTTTGCGTTATAATATGGCCAAAGTCCCAATGTTGTTAAGAGAAACTTAGTAAAGTCGTAATAAGTCAATAATTCAACCATTGTATAGCATGGAAGAATAACTGGTTTCTTCCGTTGTTTATTCTCTTTTATTGATTTTATTTTATTTTAAAAGTTTTTGAGTAAAATATTAGTTACAACTTGCAGCAAAATGGCATAAGTTATAATTTAGGTATTTATTTATTCATACTTAAATGCGTTAAGAGTAAAGAATCGATTGATTTTTTTTCTATCCTTTAAATATGTAAATAAGCAATTAAAAAGATTATAGTTTGCTTAAGAAAACTACTGTTTAACTACTGTATAACTGTTTTCTTTAACAATTTTTTTTTTGTTCTGTTATTTATATAGCTGATAAAAATATTTCTCGATAGTTTCCATTTTGTTTTAGTTATTTGTTATGGAAACAAGTTTTTAATGTAAAAAAGATATAAAAAACAATATCTATAAATTATTAGTATTTCATGAATATATTTTATATTTTTCAAGTTTTAAAGTGATAAAAA